GAGATGACGTGATGTGAATTGGAGCTATAGAAATAAAGTTAATTGAATTTAAATCGAAAGGTCTAGCCAGACGTTATTTAATATGCATTTATGCATAACAGACCTGTTTTAGCATTTCTGTGAGAAGATGCTGCAGCGGCTTTATCTTCTCTATGAGATGCTTCTTTATCTGGGAGCTCAGGAAGTCCAACTGCTCCTTTGAAATGATAAAGAGGCGTAATCTGAGTAAAACAGCTTCAAACTGAATGGAAACTTGGTAGATAGAGTTACCGTTACCTCTGCTGCGGTTAATCTTTCCACCCGGCCCTCCGCTGTCAGTATCAGCCTCTGATTGTCCTTTTCCAGGGACAGGCTTCCCAGTGTCTCAGACTCTCTGCAGCCTTCTCTTCTCTGCACATCTGCCCGTAAGCTGTGATTAAATCCTGCACACGCCACTGCACTCAGATCCTCACAGAGGTCTGAACCTGCCCAGTAACACACACAAACGCTCAGATTTGCACTCTATAGGCGCTGCCTTGGTTTAGCGGGATGTTGTCCTTTATTTACCGTTGATGTAACCTGCTGTAGTCCGAAGACAGCGTCCCTCTATCGTCCCATTGAGCCAAATCTTCTGTCTACCGTCTATAGCGGCCTGCACCTGGAGACCCGACCCACTGGTCCAAGACAGGGCGCTGCCCACCAGCCCCAAGCTCCAGTTACCCACCATCGACTGGAAAAGTTTAAAAAAGGATACGTAATTTAAACAGTCAAAAACTTAATACAAAAAAACAGGTTTCTTTGAAGATTCTCGGTCGTTCAGGTCCTGTTCAAGCTAGAAAGGTTCAGTTTAGGCGACTGGATGTGAAGTTTTCTAGAAAATGTTTCTTCTCTCATCCAAGAAGCTTCAGGTCTAACTAGTGGTGGGAGGACTGGGATTAATATACTGGGAGTGGAACAAAGAATTAGGAGGAACTAAAGGCTGGATTTGATCTTTTCTTCTGGATTGGTGATGGAGGTCACCTGGGGGTTAAAGGTCGTTAGGGGGTCGTTGACTCCCTCCTTAGAGTGGTTTCGATCACATCATTGAAGTGTGAGTCGGATGAGAGGTGAATATTCTGGGTATTGATCCTAAAAGTGCTCTGGAAGTAGGTGAAAGGTTATGTCTAAGACAACCTCCTGAGAGGTTGTTCCAGGTTAACAAAGATGGCTTCCTTAACCCCTCTTTCAAACCATCTGTCTACCTTAGCCAGAATATGGACATCGTTGTCCTCAAACGAGTGTCCTTCAGCCTTCAGGTGTACATTGGTGAGGATTCTCCATCTTCCAGGTCATTATCATTCCAAAAAAAGTTCAAATCAATCCTCTGGACTTTGTTTCCAAGTTTGAAGACGTTTCTCTTCCATCCAGGAAGATTTTTCAATCCAAAATGTCAGAAATAGCGTTTAGTTCCAGGTTTTATCCAGCAGCCCAACAAAGCCTGGTTTTAGTTTAGAAAACATGCAAATAGAAACGGATGAACGGGTCCCCCCCTTTGGAATGGGGGTCGTTTGGCTTCTTTGTTAGCCTGCAATGCCCCATACCTGTCTATGTCTCTGAAAGGGGGGGTCGTTGGCTTCTTTGTTAGCCTGCAATGCCCCATACCTGTCTATTTCAATTTGAAAAACTCACACAAAGACAAAAGACAATTAGAAGAAATATATTGATACGATTAGTTGGTCTTTGGTTTTGAATATTGATAGATATGCATGAATAGGGATGCCTGACCCCCCCCCCCCCCCGGTTGGACAGACGGTCTGCTGAGCTTTATGTGGGGGTTCCAGTGGACTGCGTGAGCTGATACTAGAGCTTCACTCAGGGACCTGAAGATGGAAGTCCAGCTGGATAACACAGGCTGAGAGAATCTGTCCATGATGAGCAAGCATGAAGCGACAGTGGAGAGGAAAAACTTGGGACCTGTGGCACCATGGCGTTATCTCTTCTTGGGTCCACCCCTAAGGGAATGGGCCCCTTTGGGTTTTGGCCCCACGGGGGTCAGGCTCTGGGTGCTATCATCAGCCCTACCTTGGGTACTCCGGCTTCCTCCCACAGTCCAAAAACAGGACTTTTAGGATAATTGGCTTCTCTAAATCTTTTTAAGTCTGAGTGTGTGACTGTATGTATTTGTGTCTCTGAGTTGCCCTTCGACAGACTGGCGAGCTGTTCGGGGTGGACCCCGCCTCCTGCCCGTAGAGAGCTGGAGATAGGCACCAACCAAGATGGATGAATATAAATGAAAAGATAAACGTTTTTTTTTTATTAAAGTTGTTTTATTTGTTGAATGTTTACCTGATTTACCTTTACCTCAGTAGACAGAGAGACGTTGGTTCCCTCAGCTGTGGAGGAGTTTGAGAGGACCAGCGTGAAGCTGGACTGGCGACCAGTCACTGACAGGTTGGACCGAGTGGAGAACAGCTCATCTCCTGAGTTCACTCTGTGAGATCCGGACCACCATGAGATCTGACAAACAGAGACCATCAGGGAATCTTTGGAGATATGCTGGGACTGCTAGTTTCTTCCTCTGCTGTGTGAACTCACAGGCTGTTCAGGACAAATGCCAACTTCCACTCTGTGCTCCAAACGATCCCTGAGGTTCGTCTGAACTTTAGCCAAGAACATGTGGGAGTGACAGGGTCCAGGGGACACTCTGTCCAAATCAATGTATATCTGAAGGCCATGTAGTCCCTGGTTACTTTTCTGAAAGAAAACCAAGATATGAAAAATGCATTTCTTGCTTCATCAGCCATTAGACGTGCATCTTTGAAGGGACTCACATTAAAGATCAATCAGAATACCTGGTATGTCATGCCTTGTCTGAAGCTCTTGTTGTGCCAAGTTACATCTGCAGTTTGTGAATACAAGTTTCCCCCGTGACCCACCGATACGCAGCCCCTCCCAGAGGACACCGACGTCTGCAGCAGAAGACCTTCACAATATGCTCCACAATAGAGTCCATACTTACAACTGTTAGAGACAGACAAAGGATCTACCAACCCGCCGAGCTGAAAGCAGCACACACGCCCTGCCAGCATTGGAGTTCAGTTTGTTCAGGCTGAGAGAGATGTTGACCGGAACCGCACCGTTCCAGGACAGATGGGTCTACAGGATACACAGGAATGAACTTCTTGAACGTTTGTCTTACAGGCTGCAGAGTTCAGTGTTCCAGTTATTGTGACATAAGCCATGAAATTCATTTAGACACAAGTGGAACTATGTTCATGTGTGTTTTCTAGCCCCTCCAAGAGCTGCAAACGCCTCGGTAGAAACATCAGCGAAGGGACCTGAGCTTAACAAAGGGACATGGGGTCCTCCACTACCGTGCTTAGGACAAAACTCATCTGCTCACAGACCCCATCTTCTTTTAGCCAGTCTGTGTCCGAACGTCCGCCCTAACCCCTAAATCCCTCCATCCCTTTATAGAGCGTGGACTATATAGTGGACTTTATAGTGAACTCAGTTAACTGACCGTTTGGACAGATCATCACTACTTTTCACACCCCTCTGGTCACATGACTCCGCCTCCACGCATGGTGCCCACGCCCTCTTTGTTATTTGTCATCTGTCAGGTAGCAACAGAGGGCCGCTGTGACAACAGCTCTCTGCGCAAAGCATTCTGGGTTATATCTGCTGGTCTAGTCACCATAGATGATCACTGCTTTTCTAAGTGCATTGTGGGAAATTTCGGGGTCCACTGCTTTTTCATCCACTAGACCAGAGGTCACGGATTAGCGGACGGGAGCAGACAAGTGGATCGGAGGCCTTTTAAGATGGACTTTGGATGCTGATTGGCTGTCGTGGAGGCGGGGTTAAAAGCTGATTGGCTTTCATGGAGGCGGGGTTCAAAGCTGATTGGCTGTCGTGGAGGCGGGGTTAAAAGCTGATTGGCTGTCGTGGAGGCGGGGTTAAAAGCTGATTGGCTGTCGCAGGTGGATGAAGGAAAGCAACGACTTTCTTCAGTTGAACTTCTGCCTAGACTCCATATCAGTGCAACTTTATGCACTCTGTTGTTTTGAAGCTAATTTAAATATATTACTTTACTTTCACTACATTTTTTAGCAAATAATCCAACATTAAACAACAAAACAACAATATCAAAACAAAACAAAACCAACAATTTACCAAAAAAAGGAATAGGCTGAAGCAAAGCTTATTATTGCCTGCCCCGTTTTATACGTACAACCTTTACAACCTACCAGGTTCCTTACTGTGTGTATAAATATTCAAATCTACGTAACATAGGATTTATATGGTCCAAATATATCACCATATATTTGGACTATAATCGCGATACATAAAATATATGGTGGTATTTTTCATGTATAGTCCAAATATATGGTGATATTAGTTTTTTATCACATCGCCAAGCCCTAGTTGTCCGAACAGTTTATTATTACCTTAGAAAAAAAACCACAGAATCAATAATCAGAAAGGTTATTGATTTCTGATTAAAAAATCATTTAATAAAATATAATTTTACCAAATGTTTGGTTTCTTTTACCCTTTGATTTGCAGTGTGAATTGATTTTAATACATTTATAACTCCTTTAAATAGTTTAAAATATAATTACTATTCCAAACTGTTTAAGATAAACTAAAAAAAAGTAAAATTTTTGACAAACTTTTATATTATTGCCTGATTTTAATAATAATGGTTTTAAATCATCTTTATTTATTTTCTTTATGCTGATTTAGGTTCTCAGACATCCAGGTCATAGTCATTCCATAAAAAGTCCAGTGGATATTTTTTGAATTTTTTCGGAAATTATTTATTTTCTTTGTGCACATACTTTTACATATTTATAAAAAGAGTTTTTAACTGAAATATGTTCGACCTGCAGGTCAGATTGTTCTTTAATTATATTTTGAACAGATGTTATGGTGAATTTATTACATATGTCTGCAAAGTGCACCGTTTGACCAAAATAGGAGCTCAATTTAAAAAAATGTACTTTTGTAGTTTTCTTAACACAAATCCAGCTGGGCAGGTTCACAGAACTTATGACACGCCAAAGGTTACTCAATAAATAAAATTAAATAAAGTTAGAACAGAATTTAATTGCATAACATATTTTCTCCCCCCAGTTGGCATTGAATGTAATGTTTTTTCTTTAGACGGAGGAAATCTGATGGAGCACCAAAAGCAGAAGGCCCTGGGCTTTGCTCTGCACCTGATGCCTGCTGCTTCTCTTCCTCCGTAGGCCGGGTGACAGAATGCGCAGCGACAGCTGGCTTAGAGCGGAGCAGAACGGATGCTTAAGCTCCAGGTTGGTCTCCTTGAAATCCTCAGACTGACTCCATGAACGTAGAAGTTGGACCTGCAGCAGAAAAACGGCCCAACGGGAAATAATAAGAATGGAAATAGACTAATGTGGTGTAAAAAAAATATTCAACTATTCACACAAGTTAAATAAACGGAGATCGATGGATTTTTCTCAGTCTGCACTTTATTTCATTTATTTATTTTATTAAGAGAGAACGGTTCAGGATGCGGTCCTTATTGCTCAGTAATCAACCCTGTTCTGATCTGGGCAGCGTTCGTTCCTCCTTACTTATAATAATGGAAAGTAGTCAGATTTAAAACAAGTTACAGACACTTTGGAGAAATAATCTAGTTTATATTGGGAAGAAGGTTTATCTTGTCTACAAACATCCTCACTCAGGCATTGTTTGGCCTTGCAGGTGAAACAGGCTGAGTGAAAAGTTTTATAGTGAGTAAATAGGATAAATTAATATATGAAACAGGAGAAATCCTAATTTTTCGACCACAATTAACTCTTAGACAATGATTACTGTTTTAGAGTAACAGTGTGTTGAACAAGCATCCATTCATCACATTAAATGCTATCGACATTCTATGTAGTAAATACACTTTAATAATTTGTGCAGCACAGAAAGAAAAGCATTTTATTTTTTTAGTTTGATCTTTCTCACCTTCTCTGTTTGGCCGTTTCTCTTCCAGCCCAGTGATATCCTGTCTAGGTTTCCATGTAAAGAACGGTCGTGTAAAACCTCCATGCTGGTAGAGCGGGGAACGCCGCTGATCTGAACTGATGACGGAGAATAATCAGAGATTAACAATCTGCAGCTGTCAATATCATGCTACCAGAAAATAACTTAATTAGATCAGCATTTTATATAGATTAAAATATAGTTTATATTTGAGTCTAACAGAAAGGCTGTTACTAAAGTGCCCTCCATAATTATTGGCACTCTTGATTAAGATCTGAGCGATGACTTCTAAAAAAAAAAAAATGTTCTTTGTCTTAAAAACATAAAAACTAAATGCAAAAAAAAAGGAGAAAAATCCAACCTTTTCTTTTAGTACATTACTTTGGAGGTAAAAAAAAAAAAAAGAATCACACATTAAAAAAAAAATAAATAAATAAATAAAATCATGTGTCCCACAACTATTGGCACCCCTGGTGTTAATACTTTGTACAACCCCCCCTTTTCTCCTTTTCCCCTTTTCGGGCACTCAAACAATCCCACCACGTTAAGGTGGCACCTTCAGGTCCCTGTTGTTTAACAACCATCAAAATGATGCAGTAATTAGACTGATCATTAAAATAAAACATGTTATGGTAAAGTTTGTGTTTTTAAATTCATAGCAGCCATGAATTCTCCTGCTGATCTCTGAATGTTGGAGATTTACCCTTCAGGGTGTGATTGCCCCCCTCCAGGCCAGGAGGGCTGCAGCACAGAGCAGACAGGCTGAACTGGTCATTGCCCCACACGGTGGCCTGCTGGAGGGCGTAGCTCCACCTCTGGAGCTCGTAGGACGTTCTGACTGCCATGATCCTGGGAAAAGGCTTTAGCTGCGACACAAAGACACTTCAGCTGTAAGACAATAAAGGAACTTTATGTTCCAAAAGGAGAAGAAACTCAAAATATTCCAAAAAGTTCAAGTTAAAAAACAACCTGCTGAGATATTTTGTTGCTTAGCGACGGGATACAGCTGGGATTAGGAAGGAATCGACTCTATCGCTGCGTTGTAGGTTTTTGAGCGCTGAAACATGAGCCCCCCCCATCCTAACCCACAGCTACGTCCGTTTGACGGCGTCAAGAAGCCGTTTTATAAATCCAATCTTCAATTCTTTATACTCCATTCATCTCTAAGTACGGTGGCTGAGAAGTGCAAAACACATTTACAATTCAAAAACACATTAACAAATAAAAAACTAAATAACATTTGAAGAAAATTATATTTTATGAAACAAATGTATTTTTGAAAAAAAAAGTTTGCATTTTTAAAAACAAATTCACATTTTAGCAAACAAATTCACATTTTAAAAAAGTTCGATTTGCTAACATTTTTTAGATGTAAATTTGTTTCCCTATAATGTATTTTTTTTTTCTCTAAAATGAAACTTTCTCTCACCTAAAATCTAACTTGTTTAAAATGTGAATTTGTTTCCTAAAATGTAATTTTGTTTTTAAAAATTTAAACTTTTTTTTTCAAAAATACATTTGTTTCATAAAATATAATTTTGTTTCTTCAAATGTTACTTTGTTTTTCATTTGTTAATGTGTTTTGCACTTCTCAGCCACCGTACTTAGGGTTCACAGATTAAAAGTAATCCAGAATATTCATTATAAAAAGTTCCATGATGAAAAAAATCGCCCATAATGTCCGGAATTTCACATCAGATCAGTGAGCTGGTCATAATAATGCTCAGCATCTTGCTAATATTTACCTTCTAATACTTATTTCCTCGGTTGTTAGCCCGCGATGTTTGGTGTGGTTTTTCTTATGACGCGATTTGAGTCAGAGACAGTTGCTGAAGTCTCACAAACGCCCCCTGCCTGTCATCCAATGACGCACCGAGTAGAGGGATATTACGCCTCATAGAGTCCTGCTGTTATTGGTTAAGACCACCTGGGCTGTTTGGCTTTGCAGCCAATTAAATAAGGTTTGAAACAAGGCTAGATATGGCAGAGTTATATAAAGCAGAGCCGAGTTACCGACTTGTTTAAGGGGAGACTGGATCAATGCGAGCAGCCAACAACGCTCTGGTAGTTTTGGAGTTTGCACGCTAATTTTGTTTTATTACGATGCCTAAGGCTGGATGTCAGGTTTATTCAATGATGATTATAAAGTTAAGTATGTGCATTTGGAACATTGAAGAAATTAGATGCTTAGTTAGCTCTGTTTACTGCAAATTGTCATGCAACGGTGGTAGAAAATAAAAACAGCTCAGAAAAGGAACTGGGGCTGATTTTAGCTTGAAAAGCTGCAGTTTCACTATTTTTTTATAGACTTTTTTATGTTATTGTAGGTGTAAAAATGTTAGAAAATTGTTATATACACTGATTCTGAAAAAAAAGTGGAAAATATTTGCTTCATCAATGTTTTGTTGCCATCAAAATGCTTCAGCGTTTTTCTGTGGGTCAAATAGTTGAGTAAAAGCATTTGGAACATTTGGAGATGTTTGGTTCAAAGCCTCACAGCTCTGGATCTGTTGCAGCTGATCTTCTGCATTTGTGGCTGACATGATGTAGAACAAATGTAAAACAATAAAACCTGCCTTTTCTCAAGCACTCATACTTTGAGTCATGTCTGAACTGATGCAGCTTAGGTTGTGTTTTACTCACCCAATTTTCATTTATATTTTCAGAAACTAAGAATTGTTCGCTTTCAAATGATGTAACATACATGGACTTACGTTCCACAGTTATTTGCTTTCCATTTGGGTATGAAAATTAGGCGAGGATTACTTCAAAATGAGGTGGATGTTAAGAGTTAACATAAATAACTTCCTTCAAACACCTTTCAAATCACCTTTCTTCGTTATCAAGCAGGTTTTCCTGCTTCAATTTGCATGTTTTCTAAACCATTACAAGGATTTTGTTGAGCTTTTCTACTAAAGCCTTAAACTCAAAACTAATCCAGACATTTTAAATCGAAAAAGCTTCCTGGATGGGAAGAGAAACGTCTTCAAAATTAGAAAACAGTCCAGTTGATTGTTTTTTTTAACTATATTTTGGAATGATTATGATCTCATGAACTCAGAATAAATCATATGAATTCATACAAATACAGCAGCCGGGTGAAAAGTAAAATACCTTATTATACATTTTATTGGTTTTTGGGATGTGTCTACTTTGAAGTTAAGCCCCCCCTCCCTTAATGGAACAGAAATAATTTATTTACAGTGTGCATTGAAATCAAAGAGATCATCATACCTGTGGCCAGGAGTGTTTGACCTCCAAAGCCTGCCTATATCCCCCCTCTGTGGCTGCCAGCTCCCCCACAGCCCAGAGCTTCCTCCTGCCTGACAGCACCTCCAGCATCGCTGCCCCACTGGACTGGGACTGGTTCAACTGGGAAAAGAGGAAGCCTGTGAGCACCACGCATCTACAACCTCCTGTCTGTCAGAAAGGGGGAAAGGAAGCCACCTGAGACCGGAGCCCAAACTGGGAGGGCAGGTAGACCAACATCCGGGGGACGTTGTGGGCCACGTTCAACACCAGCTCCTTTCTAGAAACACAATCAGCATCAGCTGGAAGTTTTCAGGTGATGATTTTTATCTTCCATCATTTTCTGTGTACTAAAAAGTGATGGTTGCAAAATTAGCCTCTGTAGTATCAGTTATACCCAGTAGGGGCGCTGTTTCCTTGGACAATAAGAGCAAAAGAAGAACTCAGTTCAGGGTTTACCGCCATGGAACCTCTTAGTTGGGAGTCAGTAATTCTTCCCCAGGACTCCACCTAAAACATGTAGAGATTGTTAGCAGGAAGGAACAACATTTAGGGAACGTTATTTGTGGAGGTTCCTCCATCTTTTCTTCAGTGTTAGTATTTATTTAAAGGTCTTCACACAGTACATTTATAATTTCACTTTTGTGGTGTTTTTTTTTGCATTAGGTTGTTTACTATTATGGGTGCACACATTTAGTAAACACCTTTTGTTTATTTGAATTGAATTAACTACTTTTCTTTTTGTTGAGTTGAAGGACTGGCTGAGTGGAGAGGACTGGTGGGAAGGCAAACCAGGAAGTCGGACGTACCATCAGGCTGCTGGAAGCAGGGGACTGGATGTTAGAGTCTGCTTCTTTCTCTCCACTTATGGCATAACTGTTAAAGCATTTTTGGTGTTATGTTGTTTTCTTTTGATAGTTGTGTTGTAGTTAAAAGGTGTTAGTTTGAATTAGTTATTTATGTTTATGCATTGTTTGTCTTTGTCTCACCTCCCACCCCTCCTCGTTTGTGTAGGCTAGCCTTTGTGTATAAATTCCCCTGTGTGTTATCCTGAGTGAGGTGTGCCTTAGTTGATTTCATTTGGGCGCATTTTGTTATATTTATTTGAGATTTGATG